TCTCCTCCAAGATTGTAAACTTTACATACTGATCTAAGATCAGCAGTCTCTAAAGTAAACAGCAGACTTAAATGTTGTGAGAGAGGAGATGAAACTGGCCACAGAACATAACTGACAGTAAGTTTCATCAAACAATGACTGCTCATCATAGACACAGCTGCAGTACAGGAGTGGGGCGTCTCACAGCTGGGGACAATGTCACAGATGATTGCATCCTCTCAAGGAATTATTCATAATGAGGTATTGAAAGCAACAAAAAAGTACCATGGAATTACCAGCATTAGGTTTAGCTATATTTATGTTATGTATATGTACATATATAAACATAATTGTACGTATGTGTGCGTGGCTAAATATATATATAAAAAAGTACCATGTTACTTAATGGCATGGTAACAAAATATAAAAATATATATAATAAGGAAATTTAAAACAAGTATATTTTTCATATGAAAAGACAGCAAAATGCATAATAAAAAAGGTTTAAAGGTATTTAAAAAAGGGTTTAAAAATTAAAAGGTATTTAAAAGTGCATTGTAAAAATGTATTTTATAAATAAATAAATAATAATAATAATCTTTTTTTTTTTTTAAATCATATGCACCATGGTATCTAATGGTATCTGTACCAAAGTACTCTTTTGTAATGGCGTATTTATTACTCACAACCTATAACCCTAAATCTAAACTCTAAAGGCCCTATTAGATGTATAATGCACAATAATTTTGTTTTTGTTCCTGAAAACGCCAGTTCTTCATCTAAATGGGGTGCGTTTTTGGTGAGTGTATTGTCTTTGTTGGCTCTGTGGGTTGTATGACTGAGTGGTTCTTTCAGCGTCGGCTTAATCACCTTCCTGCATTCCAGCCGTTTAAACAGAGATGCAGTAACATCCTGTGAACAGCTCAAACCAAATAAAACAACATTACGCCTTAAACAGAGGAAAAAAAAAGCAGGCAAGGAGGACGAGTAATAAAAGAAGCATTGACCACAACAGAGGACGAGCTGGCAACGAGGCCTAATAGGGCGGTCTGGCGGAGTTAAAGTACTATATGAGTATGAGTTCACAAGCATGTTTTTTTGTGTGCATTATGATCCTCTTGTGCATTTGCATTGTCTGCGTCCTGATTAGTCTATATTGGTGATGCCTTGCAGGCTTATGTATAACTTGGTTGTGCAATCTTCGATTTTCCTGTCTGAGTAACTTCACCAGTCACCATTAAGACCGAAGGGACAAGTGAAAATCCCAAAAAGTGCTGGGAAACAAACAAGAAGATACTTTGAAGAATGTTCCAACTGTTTTGTCCATACAATGAAAGTCAATGGGGTCCAATACAACTCTAGACCCAATTGACTTTCAATTAATTGTATGGACAAAAAGAGGACATTCTTCAAAATAGCTTCTTTTGCATTCCAGAGCAGAAAGTTATAAAGGTTTGGAAACAATATGAGGTTGAGTAAATGATGACAAAAATGTCATTTTTGGGTGAGCTATGCTTTAGGAGAAGAGAAGCAAAAAGGAAACACTGTCTTTATATGCTATAAACTGCGAGAGAGACAAAGGAAATCAGGGTAAAAAACCCCAAGTCCTACATTACCCAGCTCAGTGCCAGCTTAGAGTGCCAGGCCAGTAAAAAGGAAGCCCATAAAAACTGTTAATTAAAAGATCAATGTTTAGCTTCAAAGAAAGGGCAAGGGCTCAAACAGTGTGCAGCCCCTCGTAAATACTAAAGCATATTTTGAATACAAGAGGCTTGTCATTAGTAGAGGACTGGTCATAGAGGACACCAACCTCAATCCTCTACGGGCTCGATGGCGACTGTGCCACAAAGAGCCATTCAATTAGTTACTAATAACTCAGTTTATAAGAATGATGATTGGCAAAGAGCCCCCTCCCAAATTGAGCCACTTGAGGGTCTACGGAGAGGCATACATGCCATCAAAAGACACCACAATTAAATTCATGTGGACGTTACTAACAATAATGGACTGAATAGAACACGATAAATTAAGCCAATAATGAGCACAGACTTTTCTCGTCAATTTGAGCCTGTTATGGCCAAATGGGCGTCTTCTTGCATCTTCTGTGCTGAAGGGATCTAAATGGCTGAACTGCAGCGCGGAGAGAACGCTAATGTAATGTGCTACACTCCCAACACAAAGAAAAGAAGAGAGGTCAAAGAAGACATCAATCAAACGGGCTTGTGAACGCCGGCAACTCGTCCAATCCACCATCTGCAAGTGATTCCACCATCAGAGAAAACCAAAAGTGTCTTCCAGCAGATTGTGTCTTACATGCAGGGCATGTAACTGAAGAATGAGCAGGATCCCGTACATGTGGATACCATATGGATGCAAAATGCTAAATATCTTCGAGCTATTGGATTTGGAGAGGAAAAATCCTGATATGTGTGTAACCGTTTGAGAGGTAAAGCCTAACCGGTGAAACCTGAAATATTCATTATCTCTGCCTTAATGTGTCCGACATGAAATTGGCATGTTGGCCAAGCCAAAACAACACTGCCAAGTGTTGCAACCCTGCACAACCCTGCACAACCCTGCATGCTCTTGAACAATCCTACATAATTCATTTGCTCCATACTCACCAATTTGAGGACTCAAGAGAGTCAAAAACCTGGCGTAAAGGTCCAGGGGTTCTTATCACCTCCCATGAGAGCGGTGCTTTCTAAACACTGTCAGTGATAGTTTGCACAAGATAAACACAGAATTGTTGACCTTAGAGAAGGTCCAGGAGGAATAACAGTTTGGAGGACCCGAGCAAAAACAGAGTTCAACTGTTTGCTGCTTTTGATGACACTTTTCAGGATAGCCACCAGTGAAGTGCTGGAGACTGCGATTGAGGACCATTATTCTGGAAATTCTAGCCCCTTTTAAGCACATCATGGGCAAGAATTCAATTCGAAAACCAACAAAACAGACCTCATGTTTACATAGCACAGTAGCCTCAACTGACCAGTGGCAACACTCAGTTTGAAAAGGCTGTGCAACCATTCAGTCCGTCCGTACAGTCTGTTGAAAGCTGTCTCTCTCAAAGGAAAATAAATGTACAGACATCTCTCTACTTCATATTAAACAAGTACAGGGTGGGAAAAAAGTCCCTTGGAAAGTGCCAATTTTTGGAACAAAGTTTACTTGCAGCAAACTAAAAATCTTAAACATTATTTGTTCGCTGGCCAAAGGCTTGTCATCAGGCAGCCCACATAAAAAAATGCATTTCAATAATGTCGGAGCGAGCCAAAAAACTGCCAAGCAGATAGTTCCCCGTGCAGTGAAACACATGAGCATTGTATGAGCCTTGGCACCATCACAGCAGATCACTCTCCTCTTCTCTTGAGGAATGGGGCCGATTTAAAGTGAGTATAATGTATATGTAGACTTCCAGACAATTTATTTTTCTGATGTTACAAAAAGCATCAGGGATGGATGCAGAACCGGGACGCACCGACGGAGGGACTAAACCCAGTGTCCGTTTGCAGACATTTACTGTTATGGTAGGTATGACAATGGGTTCAAAGTGAAGTGCAGAAAATGGATCCACGCATACATTTATTACAGAGAAGGGATCGTTCATCATGGAGAGACTAAATCCAGCCACTACCTCCTCAAACGCTTCTCTCTTTCGCCGTCCAAATGCTGACACTCCTTTTCTTTATCACGCCATTCCAGTTGCTCTTCTTTTTTTAAAGTCTTTCTCAACCCCCCTTCCTCCACTCTTGGCTCTCCCCTGCCTTTTAAGTGAGCCTTGGGTAGCTTTTTGGTTTTCTTTTGTTAAAGTAACAGTAAACGAAGCTAATAAAACACAATATATTGGACTATTTATTTTCTGTAGGAACACATTCCACTCTATAAAGAGGACTAATGGCACTTACACAGAGCTGGACTGATTCTTAAAGCCTATAGGAGATTTATAGACAGTGAAGGTTAGCATCAGCTAAGCTGTGCGGTCCAGGCCAGATGGCTCCAATAATCAATGGGTGACAAATCCAACTACCCGAGAAACCTTATGGTACCTTGAGTGCACATATACGTATAAATACACAGTTGTGGAATCGTGAAGAAAAGGCAAGATGTATAAAAAGTTATCTATCAAGTTTTTTATGGTAACAGTTTACAATAAGGATCAATTTAGTACCATTACTTAATGCAACAGGTATATGAACTAAGAATGAACAATACTTTTACTACTTTTACATTTGTTTCCATGTATTATTTTTCAATTACCTGAAATTATTTTAATCTTGGTTTGTGTTCATTTTAACTTTTGTTTTACATCTTCAATCTAAAACATGTTTATATTATAATAATAATTATATAATACATTATGTCTGTATTGCAATAATGCAAGTCAATTCATGTTCAATTCAATTCAATTCAAGTCATTAATTCATGTTGATGCACTGAAACTTATTGTGAAGTCATAATGGGCAGCAACTGAAAAACACAACTATCCTGTCCTTTTCACAGTTTAACAGTTTACAGTAAGGTTCAATTTGGTGTCATGGGTTAATACAACAGATATTATGAACAATACTTTTACAACTTTTACATTTGTTTACATGTATTGTTTTTTTAATTGATTGAACTTATTTTAATCTTGTCTTATGTTAATTTTTACATAAAAGTTTCAAAATGTTTTTACGCCTACTTACTACCTATAATAATAATAATAATATAAAACAGAACAAAATATATACAAATATTGTTTTTATTTTATATATATATATATATTATTACAAATTTAAAAAAAATCTAATATCTGATCTAATAACTAATATGAACTTTAGAATGTAATTTTTTTTTTTAAAAAACATTAATAATACTCTAGTTTAATGAATGCTGTTCATGCAAGCTAATGCATTAATTCATGTTAATGCACTGAACCTTATTGTAAAGTGTTAATATTTTCTTAATGGGAATCACTGAAAAACACAGCAACACCAGATAGGTCACATTTCATAGAAAAGAGTATCACCCTTTCTTACCTGTTCGGGGCTCATCTTTTGAAGCTCCTCCTCCCAGGCGTCCTGTTGGCTGCAGTGGTATGCGGAGGGCGGGGCCAGGTCCTGCAGGATGTGGGGGTCTCTCTCGTGGCACAGGGCTGTGAGGTGGCCGATGTACAGTTTCAGCTTACTGCGGTTCTGATTGAGGTCTATGAGTGGGGGGATAATCTGTCCAAAACAGGAACGAGGAAATGGGTTAGAGATAAAGAGTCATTTTAATCTCAGTTTTCCTCTACCGTTCAAGAATTAGATATTTGGACATGAGCCAGGGAGATAAAAAGGCGGGTATGCAGACGCATGCTTAAATGACACGCAAACAACACTTTTAACAAGCCAGAACACAGAGTTCAAATTTTGCTTGGTAACATATGATTGTATTCAAAAAGGAGGGAAAAAAGAACAATATTCAGTGAAAGGTTGCGGATGATTATGGATGATAGACCACAGCTGAAACACATGAATCACAGTGAGAACAGTGGTATAATAAAAATGTGTCAGGGGAAACATTCCCATTCCAGGAACACAGACAAACAATCTCAGTTACCTGGACCGCTGCCGACAGATGCCAGTTTTTTTACAAAACATCTCTATACACACAGCAGACACTCACACGGCTTTTCCATATCCATCAAAATAATGCATACACTTGTGTGGGAGAAAATCCAGAAACCATATGTCTCGGTGCCATGTGTGTATCCTACTGGCTTCAACAAAGGATTCTGGTGCAATGCATGATTGAGCCATCACATTTGTTTTCACATTAATCTAAAAATGAGATAAATAGCAACATATTTTTCTAAATATATTTTATTATATTAAATTAAAATGATTTTAAAGTACTATTAAAGTCAAAATTTAATACTTCAATCAATACTGATGACACTGTGGATGGAAAACAGACTCAGACTCTTAGCGATATTTTCTTCTACGAGTGCCATCTACATAAAATGATAAAACTTTATGACACATTATGCACAATAATGCAAAGCTGAGTAAAAGGACAGCTTGAATCAAGATGTTACATAAGCTGGTTTTGGGCTGCAATGGTGGATCCATAAATTCTGGGATGAGAGAGGTGAGCAATGTTTTTGAAATACTACAGTACAACACAAGACAGAAGAAGATCTACTGAAATGTTCCCTTACAAATACCTGCTCAAAGAGGGCCGAGAACATAGTAGGGCATAGGGAGCTCTGTGAATGCTCCTCATCGCTCAATAGCAGAAAGCAAATAGTTACCTTATTGTCATGCTGAAGTGAATGAGAGTTTGCAGTATACTTTATTTTGAATGTCGTTGCCTAGGAGTTAAAGGCCTGAACTGGAACTGAAAGGCTGTTGGATATAATATAATATAATATAATATAATATAATAAGAAGATCTACTGAAATGTTCCCTTACAAATACCTGCTCAAAGAGGGCCGAGAACATAGTAGGGCATAGGGAGCTCTGTGAATGCTCCTCATCGCTCAATAGCAGAAAGCAAATAGTTACCTTATTGTCAAGAAGCGGAGAGAGGAAACAGAGGCTAAAAAGAAAGAGTGAGTGATGAGAGAAATGTAAGAAAAGACAGGGACAGAGTCTGCTTTGGTCTGAAGCGGCCCGAGCTCGCAGGAACATTTGTGTCCCCACACTTTATTAAATCTTATTAACCTCATCTGTATCTTTCCAGGGCAGAATGTTATTCTGTTTTCATTGGCTTGCCAGAGGCAATGAAGGCTCTCTAGGGTGGACCCTGGCCGTGGAGTGCGATCAAACAAAACTGTGAAAGAACGAGATGGAAGAAGGTGGAGGATGACCGAGGTTGAGGAGCTTATGACAGAAAGAAAGGCTAAAGTGGGTCGCCGGTTCTTCCTGGCTCTGGAACCAATTAGAGGACGCAAACTGGGTCTCTGCATAGAACCGGAGCAGCAGACACACAGAGACCTATCTCATGCTCTCGTTAGTCTAAGGTCTAGAGCGGCCCGGCCTCCAAAACCTACTAAAGCACATTTGGGTGCCAAAACTCAAACCCCTGCCTCATGATGGATGAGTCTTTCGTATCAAAGCCAGACCTGAAACAGCTGTAAAGGGTGACATGTCCTTCCGCATCTCCATCAGGTCTTGTCTCTCAGCCAAGCGGAGGATATATGGGGCCTCCAGATTGACTGGCAACCACAGAAAGAAGGATGAGACCTTAAAAAGGTGGTCTGATAGAAGCCCTCCAAACCACTGTGACAGAACGGCCGGGTGGATATGCTCGGAAAAACAGCAGAGTTAAAAAAAAAAACCCAGCCTCTGCGGTGGTGCCACATAAACGTGCGCACGCACACACCATTACACGGAGACTTGCTATATACATGGTTGACTGAAAGCATGCTGTGCGCTAATAAGCTTTAAAAAGGCCCAACAAGTGATGGGATTTGACGTTTATTCCCTTCTCTTCCTCCCCATCTGCTCTTAGAAAGGATGAATGGACTCCAGTTTTCAGCTGTAGACAAATGCCCAAACACAGCGCTATCCGTCACCCTCTGGTTTTAACTACTAAGTCAACACCTCTTTGTTGGCAGAAACAGTCCAGAAAACCTCACCTGAGTGTCCTGCTTAATCACCTGGAATCAGGTTAGTAGTAAAGTCAAGAACTGTGCATGATAGGGTCATGACCAGGTTTTGAGGATGGCCACAGTTAGCACAGCTCTAGTTAACACAGCGCTAACATCGGTCTTGTCATGGCTGGTGATGTTTTCTGTCAACTGGGTGCTGTCATAACTGTTTGGCTTGTGCCCGTGTTGTCGTTACATTTTTTTTTAAAAAGTCCTGTGGTAGACTGAGATCATAAATAATGCAACAATAACAGAAACAAAAATCATGCCCAGGTGACAGATTTACAACAGGGGAATTTTCCACTCAAAGCGCCATTTGTCTCATCTTGCTTTGGACACACACAATGGATGGAAGTGGGTCTCTGTTTACCCATCATGCCTTGCATGACGTCTTGGAAAAATGATCTATTTAACAGCTCTTCCATCTTTCCAAGATGTCTCCAAGAGAAGGTCTGCCAATTAATTTTTTTAATCTAATTAATTACATATGTCAATTAATTAATTAAATGGATTTTAATCACATATATTAATATGTGATCCTGGACCACAAAACCAGTCTTAAGTCGCTGGGGTATATTTGTAGCAATAGCCAAAAATACATTGTATGGGTCAAAATTATTGATTTTTCTTTTATGCCAAAAATCATTAGGACATTGAGTAAAGATCATGTTCCATGAAGATATTTTGTACATTTCCTACTGTAAATATATCAAAACATTGCTAAGAACTTCATTTGGACAACTTTAAAGGCGATTTTCTCAATATTTTTATTTTTTTGCACCCTCAGAATCCAGATTTTCATATAGTGTATATATTTTCAATAGTTGTATCTCGGCCAAATATTGTCCTATCCTAACAAACCATACATCAATGGAAAGCTTATTTATTCAGCGTTCAGATGATGTCTAAATTTCAATTTCGAAAAATTTACCCTTATGACTGGCTTTGTGGTCCAGGGTCACATATTTCCTAGAAAGCCCTTAAATTAAAGTACAGGTAATTTAAAATCTTCATATTATTGTGTTTATATCGAACTTTAGATATTAGCATAGGCTTATTGTATGTTTTATTTCCATATTATTGAACATAAGCACATTCTGCAATTCACTCTATTTAGTTTTTTTTTTTCTCAGAGACATGTAAATGCATATTGTGTGTATTTTTCAACCGCTTTAAATGTGCTACATAAAATCAAATTTTAGAATTAATTATTTATGTTTTGAATCCCGTTTGTTAGTCTTGAGCTACATTTTACTTTTTGAAGTTATCTTGTAATGATGGCAGACTATTTGCTTCCATTAAATAAATATATTTTTATATTAAAATATACAATAACATTAAAATATAAAAAGTTGGAATTATTTCAAAACTATTTGTGGTTAAATTTCAATAAAAGAAAATATTAAGGAAAAAAAATATTTATTTTTTTTATGGTTACATTTTCAGAAATTGTGTGTGGTATATTTGTGTACAGTATACTGTTATATACTGTATGTGTATATATACACTTAATTTTCAATTAATTTCTACATATTATGCCTCAAAATGTGGTATCACTATTTAAAATTTTTTTGGGGGGTTAAGTTTTTTTTCCAGCAAAAACAACTGTATTATTGTATATACTTTTGTTGTGATATAAAATATCTAATGTCATAAGAAATTGTTAATTTCACTTACCCCCAAGGTTTTCACAATGTCACTTAAAATACACCCACTAAGAACACTGCTAAGTGCGCCCTTACACAAAAAAAGCTCAATCACTTGTACAACCGTTGATGTGACAATGACCGAGAAATGTCAGAGTCAGGACTCCTGGGACCCTCTACTGACCCTCTAAGGACAAAAATATCAATAGACTGTGGGTATTGACCACAAAGACCCATGTCTGTTCTCTTGCTCTTTGCCACATTGATCACCTTCTTGAACCTCACACTGCAGCTCCCGCCTAAAGACTAGCATTCGCAAAAGGTTCACTGAGGCATCTCTCCGTCTCCTCTTTCATTATGTTCCCTCTAAAAGAAGCTGTCTTCACCAGATGCTGCAGTGTGTTGCATACCTACTCCTACCTGGCACTGTCATAACTTGAGAACCCCCTCCTCAAAAAGACCAGGGGGAAAGTAAAGTCAGACCCCTCAACAATGAGGGGTCCTTCACATTTTCCCTCTCTCATTTATCACCTATCAGCTCATCGGGTGCCATTCGATACCCACACTGAGAGGCAGGAGCCTGGATCAATGCTGTCAGTCAGGCGGTCCATCAGAGACGAGCCACTGGCTGCTTCCTCAAAGACTCCGGAGGCCCGGCAGCACAGGAAGCCCCCGACGTGGCCTTGAAGCCCAGCTCAGAATAGCTCGCCCCAGGTGGGGGAGGATCTGCGGATTGCGGGCCTCTCTCACAGTAGCCAGACCCCGGCGCACATAATTTCCCGTGGCTGAGAGTTTTATTGGGCTATCCTCTTTCAGTCTCGCTGTGCTACGCGTCCATGAGTGTTAAGGGGATAAAGATAAGGAGGGACTGCAAAGCTTCAAACCTGCGAGACACTGACAAGGCCGGTGGGCTTGCCGTCGTAAAGTGCTATTCAAGAAAGA